AACACACCAACCTCTTTCACTACGGTTCCTTGCTAGGGAATGACCTTCCGCGGTGTAATTTACCCAGTGTGGATAGATAGAAAGAAGAATGCAGATCACTGAACAAGTATATTGAAGAAATAACACAACGAGCCCCCTTTCAATGAACAAATATAAAATTTAATCAGTTTATCAACAGAATTTAAAGTGAAAAGAAATCAATGACTTGGTTACTAAAGAAGGAAAATGGTACTAACATGTACTCAAATAAAAAGACAATACAAATTTCTTTAAATGTAAAATTACTTGCAAAGTTAATATACTATCTTCATTGCCAACGAGATGTGACCTTTGAGTGCAACGATGAGAGACTTCATCACCTATCTTATGCGGACATCAAGACTTCCGTTCGTCCCTGCTCCGTCGATCTTTGTCTAGCTTTTTCGTCTTGGACACTTGTCCGTCGAACTCTGACTTAGCAATCGTCTCTGGACTTAGATTTCTGCGTAGAATTTGTTCTGGTCCTGTGATTGTTCAGGGATTTCTCATGTGAATCCAGGAAAGCTGTTTCCTTCAATAAATAAAATGTCTCGCAATAGACAATAGGTCACATTCCCAAGTATATCTATATTTTTACATTAATTCGGCTCGGAAAAACAAAAGGCATAAATTCTGCCGCAGTAACTCATTGCTCCCTAACTGTTATGTTTACATAAAAGGTCAATGCTTGTCCTGACCTTAATTCGGGTCACGCTAGGGATGGTCAATTAAATTCAACTCAGCCGTATGAACCCGTATATACCCCCCTTGACTTCTTACTCTACCAATCTAACAGTGTTAAGTTACATATGGCTTAGACCCTCAGATCTAGCTATTCTAAAATAGTTTACTCGACCAATTAAATATTACAAACTAGTATATGGGTATACATGTAAGGTTAGGTCATATTCATTCTAGAAAGAGGTAATCCATAAACCTATGAAACCGTATCCATCATTCTTTAAGCTTAATTCATTTAAATTCCTAATCATTCCTATGTATTAAAGATTCAATTACATGCAATCTTGTCAACTAATCTAATGAAATTTTAGTTACATTCAATCTTGCCAATTCTCCAAATGAATTGATAATTAGAAAATCAAAGAATAAAATGTCGTGACTAGCATTTCACTAAAATCCTGCAAAATGAAATCAAACATACATACATCATATCAAGAATACATTTGCAAAATAGATCAACAAATGAAATAACATTAAAATCGGGAAACTAAGATTGCGTACCTTTGGCCGTTTCTTTATGTTTCCACGAACCTCACGTATAGTCCGTCTCCTAACTGAGACAACTATCTGGCCTCTTATTCAATAACAAAAATGTACTTGATACGAATTTAAATGTAGAGTTTGTCTACTTCGCTGGGACAAAACTCCCGCTTTACTGCCAAATCACGAGATAACGTCTTACACGCTCTCCAGGAGTCTCGACTACTCTTTTCCAAAAAAGATTGTAGACTTTCCTCACGAAAGATTTAAGACTGGGGAATTTTCCAAAAGTAAAACCTTTAATTTCTTACAGAGTTATGCCCATAAATCCATATTAACCAATCGGAATAGACAATATCCTAAACCTGTTCCGTAGAATTTTTGAATTGACAAGACAACTAAACAACTAATCTTGCCGTAATTAACATTACTTTGAACAATCATCTATAGCCAGCTCCTGCCCTTTACCAGGTCGATTTTGGGAAAGGTTCTTATGTCATTCTCTGGTACCATAGCCTCTGACTCGGTCATGTTACGTCAGGTGGAACGAATTCCCTTTTGACGTTCAGAGATGAAATGAAAATAATCATCTATTTCTAGCCCTTTCTACTTTAATTAAGTTGACTTTGATACAATTCCTTTAACCAAAGCTTCTAAGAGTTTTGAAAATTCGACACATCATATATATATATATATATATATATATATATATATATATATATATATATATATATATATATATATATATATATATATATATATATATATATACATACATACATACATACAGAGAGAGAGAGAGAGAGAGAGAGAGAGAGAGAGAGAGAGAGAGAGAGAGAGAGAGATACCTGTATGCATGAATGTATTAATGATTGACGTCAAGTGCCACTTGCTCTGCGGCCTATCCGCCCTGCAATGAAGCATCTGCATTATGCAAATTATAAGTAGATGTGCTAATTGAATTGCTTTCGTGGGAGGCACGAGATACTTATAATTCTTAAGTGTTAAAATTACCGTAATGAATTGGAGCTTGTGATTTTTTTTTCTCAAAGGAACATACTACTTCATCCTAAGTAATAGGCACTGTTGAGTAATGCAAAAAGATAGATAGACTAATAATTATGTTGAAGGAGAGTTTTATTCTACCATTTGTTCCTCAAAACACTATGTTGTGTGTGTGAGTATACATACATACATACATACATACATACATACATACATACATACATACATACATACATACATACATACATACATACATACATACATACATACATACATACATACATACATACATACATACATACATACATACATACATACATACATACATACATACATACATACATATGTGTGTGTGTGCATGGGTGTGTGCATGTGCCAGGATCCATACTACAGAAGATTTTATTAACAAATTTCAAGCCTCCAGTCAACGTAGCTTGCACTCCAAATACATATCACAAGTCATGATTGGCAACAGTGACTTTATTAGGATTTAAGACTGTAGGTGACAATGATTGGCAACATGACTTTATTAGGATTTAGGACTGTAGGTGACAATGATTGTCAACAGTGACTTTATTAGGATTTAAGACTGTAGGTGACAATGATTGGCAACATGACTTTATTAGGATTTAAGACTGTAGGTGACAATGATTGTCAACAGTGACTTTATTAGGATTTAAGACTGTAGGTGACAATGATTGGCAACATGACTTTATTAGGATTTAGGACTGTAGGTGACAATGATTGTCAACATGTCTTTATTAGGATTTAAGACTGTAGGTGACAATGATTGTCAACAGTGACTTTATTAGAATTTAAGACTGTAGGTGACAATGATTGGCAACAGTGACTTTATTAGGATTTAAGACTGTAGGTGACAATGATTGTCAACAGTGACTTTATTAGGATTTAAGACTGTAGGTGACAATGATTGTCAACAGTGGCTTTTTTAGGATTTAAGACTGTAGGTGACAATGATTGTCAACATGACTTTATTAGGATTTAAGACTGTAGGTGACAATGAGATATTATATAATTTGTTGAACACAGGTCAAGTTATACGACTCATACGGTCTACCAGCTTTGCTACAGAGGCCTTTCTCTCTGGAATTAATATGGTGATGAGAATGAACTGATAATACAATTAAAATGTTTTTTTCTTCCTTTTTGTTTGCATTTTTGTTGAGCTTTTTGTGTTTTTTAAACGACCAATATGATAAACCAAGGATGAATCAACTTGTCCACCTGTTTTCAACATTTGGCATAAATGAAATATCAAATACACTAAAATGCATCTGTTGTCTTATAGATAAAAATGAATGACACGAGCCCTCTACATGAAAATAACAATTTAATCAATTACATAAACAACTGTGGCAATGCATTGAATTAGGAAGATACACTTCTTTTGTAATAAATCATTCACAGAATTTCAGACACAAATATACTTATAAAAATAGTCGATCTGTTTAAGTGATAGGATTCATTCTTCATAGAATTGAGTGAGCGATCAAAGTCATTGACTGGTATAACTTTATAACCTGATTATTCGGGTTCATTCGAAATTCACTGTGATTGTTCTTTAACTTCGCCGTACCTGTACGTCTGTGTCCTTTCCATCTTTCCCTTCTCCAAACTCTATTGTTTCACCTCTTTTGGCTCTTGAATTTTATGTGGGTAGGAGGATACGTAAGTACATGATACGCAGATACTTGGATAGGTAGGTACATGGATACCTCCCGTGGAACTATTTCACCAGTAGAAAACAAACAAACAGAGAAGCAACCTAAATCTTTTGTCAGATATCATAATGGGGATAGATCATTACTCCTCTTTCGTTATGTCAGACATTGTTCTATCGGAATTCAAACATATACCAAAGGCTATCTGGAAAAGTTAACCACAATAAGCTATAAATAAAACCTAGTGTCATAAGATTAATGAATTTCCTAACGGCTATAATATGGTTAAACTATGTTATTTTCAGTCAATACACACATTCATGTCTTTAACAGAAATGAAATCTCACTTCATGGCTTGATAGTGTTAATTTCAGTCAATACACACATCCAAGTCTTTAGCATAAATGAAATCTCACTTCAAGGCTTGACAATGTTAATTTCAGACAATATGCACTCTAGTCTTTATCATACGCGAAATCTACTAAGGTCGGTGAATTCACGCGGATTCTCGTAACTCATATCCATTAAGGTAAGGCATAAAATTCCTAGATGCATATTTTCCTATAACAAACAAGACGACACCTTCATACAAGTCGTCAAACATATATAAAGAATATCATTGTCAGGAGTCAACTAAACACAGTTTTGTTGATATCAACGGATTACATGAGAGTGGCGCAGATATCTTGCATCTTCGAGCTTTGCTCGTTTTTCCCGCCAGCATTGTTTCCGTCAACTTTTCAATCATCCGATATCTTGGATAATTATTTCACGAGTGAATTTCTTCTAAATTCAAACTCGTAGTCTTCTACCTTTGTTTTCTCTTGCAGACAAATGCTGACTGACTAAACTTCTTTGATGGGACATATTAAAACCAAGGAATATCGTGTGGGAACCATGCCCCTTATTAAGCGTAACCAATCCAGATTAAATATATCTCCCGACTTTTATAAATAGGCGCCAAAATTATAGTGTGCGTGACCTCAGTATTCCCAAATAACTAATCCTGGATAATTTCAATATCTGACATTTCCGATACAAGATTGAAGTTAACCTTTACCTTCCAGTCTGTCTGACCGCTCCGGTGGCTTAGTTGTTAAGAGCGTCCGCCTCGGATGCGGGAGGTCGTGGGTTCAATCCCCGGTTGAGTCGTACCAAAGAGTTACAAAAATGCTTGACGCTTAGCATTAAGAGGTTAGTGTTAAATTTGACTGGTCGGCCTGGTGTCAGGATAATGTGACTGGTTGGAAAATCATGCTTCATGTCTGCGGCATGATGTCCCAGTGCTAGACATCACTATAAACTGCCATACTGCAGATATCGTAGCGATATCACTGATTTTTTTTAAAGCAACATTAAAAATCATAATCACATCACATCACATCACCAGTCTGTTTGACTATTAAATAAACGAGTGCTTAATTAAAAATCATTTATCTCATGACACACAGCCATTAAAAAGTTCGTGCTTTACGGTGCTTTAACACGCACCTGTTCACATAAATCTAATCGTACACTTGCTCACATTAATCAGTTCTTCGTAGATCAACATAAATTTGCACCTTTACTCTAACACTAGCGGTGTACCTATTTATTGCCACTAATAATATTGCTACAGGTTCATTGTGATGTGTCGAATTTTGAAAACTCTTAGAAGCATTGGTTAAAGGAGTTCTATCAAAGACAACTTAATTAAAGTATAAAGGGCTAGAGATAGATGATTATTTTCATTTCATCTCTGAACGTCAAAAGAAAATTTGATCCACGCGACGAAACTTGACCGAGTTATATGCTATGGTACAATGCTATGACATAAGACCCTTTCCCAAAATCAACAGGTTAAAGGGGAAAGCTTGGCAACAATTGACTGTTCAAAAGAACGTTAATTACGGCATGATTAACTGTCTTGACAAACATTTTATGGAACAGATTTAGGAAACAGTCTATTCCGATTGGTTAATAGTAATTTATGGGTGTAACTCTAAGAAATTAAAGGTTTTGCTTTGGAGGAATTCTTCAGTCTTCAATCTTTCGTGAGGAAAGTTAGATGAACTCCGAATTCGTAGCAAGTACGTTTTTGTTATTGAGTAAGGGGCCGGATAGTTGTCTCAGATAGGAGACAAACTATACGTGAGGTTCGTAGAAGACGAATAAAGAAACGGCAAAAGGTACGCAATCTTAGTTTCCCGATTTTAATATGTTATTTCATTTGTTGATTTAATTGCAAATTTATTGAGGTTATGATGCATGTATGATTTCATTTTGCTGAGTTTTAGTGAAATGTTAGTCATGACATTTTATTCTTTGATCTTCTAATTATCAATTCATTTGGAGAATTGACAATGTTGTATGTAATTGAATGATCGTTGGAAGAATTGACAAGATTGCATGTAATTGAATATTCGATACGTAGGATCGCTTAGGAATTTGCAAGAATTAAGCTTAATAAATGATGGGTAATGTTTCGTTGTTCATGAATTAACTATGCCTAGTATGACATGTATGAAGTGTATATCCATATACTAGTTTGTAATATTTAATTGATCACGTAAACTATTTTAGAATAGTTAGATTTGAGGGTTTAAGCCATATGTAATTTAACACTGCTAGATAGTTAGTGTAAGAAGTCAAGGGGTGTTAAATACGGGAACATACGTCTTAGCTGAGTGGAATTTAATGACCACCACTAGCGTGACCCGAATTAAGGTCAGGATAGGCAATGACCGTCGATGTAAACATAGGAATTAGTGAACGTGAATGCGACAGAATTCCTGCCTTTTGTTTTCTGAGCGGAAGTAATGTAAAAATATAGATATACTTGGAAATGTGACCTATTGTCTATTTCGAGACATTTTATTTATTAAAGGAAAACAGCTTTCATTGACTCTCCTGAGATTCCTGGATCTTGATGAGAAAATTCTACAGCGAGAGGTCAGAAGTTCTCACCGCTCAAGTACAATCGTCTAAACGAAGTTCGACTGGCAAGAGTCCAAATCCAGACAACTAGACAAAGGCTGGCAGAGCAGGAACGAACGGAAGTCTCGATGTCCGCATAAAATAGGTGATGATGTCACACATCTTTGCACTCAAAGGTCACTTTTCGTAGGCAATAAAGATAGAATTATGTTGCTGACTAGTAATCGTAACAGTAAAATAAATTTGTATGTTTTTTTTTTATTTGAGTACATGTTAGTACATTTTTCCTTCATTTGTAACCAAGTAATGGATTTCTTTTCATTTTAAATTCCGTTGTTAAATTGATTAAATTTTATACTTGTTCATTGAAATGGGGCTCGTTGTGTTTATTTCTTCAATATACTTGTTCAGAGATCTGCATTCTTCTTTCAATCTATCTACACTGGGTAAATTACACCGCGGAAGGTCATTCCCTAGCAAACCGTAGTGGAAAGGTTGGTGTGTTTAGAACGCCGCCAATTCCCACATTCATGTATCTGTTTATGAATTGTGTTATTGATTAAATCCTGAACAGAATGAACAAAAAGGGGGGAATATAAATTTCCCTGCAGTCAAAAACTTCTTCCGATTCTGTTGACCCATGCATACACGTTTATTAAGGCATTAGATATATTTATCTGTGTTACGACTCCAGGTCTTAAAAGTATGTACCAAAAGAAGTGAAACTAATAATTTAAGCAAAAAAAAATTTCTCCAAGTTACAAAGTGAAAATATAAGATATAGAGTATTATGAAATAAATCCCAAATAATTCTAAATGTTTTCTCACAAGTCAAAAATTATCTAAATTTCCCAATGACTTCTAACAGTTTCGAATATCCTGATGCAACCCATAATGTCTTTGAATGAGTTCCTTATAAATATTAAAAAGTGTTAATCCAAAGCTAATGAACAATTTATTTTTCCAATAAATAATTTAAATAAAAAATTTATCTTGAATTACATATGAGAAAAACAGTAAAATCTTATAGCAAATGGATATAACAAATGGATTCCAGATATGGATCTAAGATAGGAACAAATTATTTATCAAGTTCCTATTTATGCACATTTTCAGTTGACCTATAAGGTAATATAATTCCAACGGGAGAGACTTTATTCTAATATAACAAGATCGACTTTGAAATCTTGCTAAGTAAACACTTGTGGTCCCGAGTGGACTAATGGTCTAAAGCGCTCATCGTTGAGGATCACTGCCATCTCACCTCTGTCTGCGTGGGTTCGAGTCTCTGGTTCCATCTATGTGGGTATGTGAGAAAGTATGTTAGTAGGTTCTTGTGGGTTGGTAGTTCTTTCCGGGGTATACGGATTAAACACCATCTATACTGGTTGCCATGCATAGTCTATCTTGTGCTGAAAAATGGCGTTAAACTCTATAACAACAACAACAAGGTAAACACTTTGTTTACAACGTTGAATCATGTACAAAAGTTAAGAACACAAACATGATATTTATCCTAAAGTACATTCTACAATCATGTGCATAAGATAAGTATAAAATATATGTATCGATATATAGTTACATATTAAATTCTATTTCACAATAACTTCCTTGCGTCTGTATTTTAAAGCTTGATCGTTCAGTGATCATAAAGCTAACTACGTGTTTGTAGTGCTCTACTTTTTTCATTAAACGGTCTGTCATGTTTAAATCATAAATGTGTCTTACACTGATCTTATCAATGTGACTAAAAAATTTAAACTCAAAATAGAATACAAACAACTTATCGATTTGCAAAGTTGATTGTGAATAGCCATTTAAGGTACAGAACTACATTTTGTAGCGGACACACTCGGCAGGAAGGTGAGGAATTCATTCACGCAGTCAATATTCAGTTGCCTGTAGTCACTCTTAACTCTGCTCAGAGGGCAAATATGTGTATTTGTATCGTGTAATATTTGACTATTTACACACCAAAGAATCAACGTAAGAAAATAGTAAGAAAAGAATAAGATTGTTCGGCCTAAATGACTCACCGGATTGACCTACCAGTCGAATATTGATATTGGACCCAGAGTGGCCGAGTGATCTAAAGCGCTCACCGTTCCGGATCACTGCCATCTCACCTCTGTCTGCGTTGTTCGAGTCTCAGGCTCTGCTAACGTGGGTAAGTGAGAAAGCTTGAGAGCAGCTTCTCGTGGATCGGTGGTTCTCCAAAGGGTTTTCCTGGGTTATTACTTCACCATTTATACTGGCCGTCATGTATAGTCTATATTGGGTTGAAAAATGGCGTTAAATAATACAACAACAACAACAACAACAACAACAACATAATATCGATAGGAAACCCAGTTCACTCGAGAAAAAGATAAGACAACATAATCGTCGTGCTGACACCATGTGACAGAATTCTAACATACATCATACAAAATGTATTACATTCATAAACCCCCCTCTCTCTCTCTCTCTCTCTCTCTCTCTCTCTCTCTCTCTCTCTCTCTCTCTCTCTCTCTCTCTCTCTCTCTCTCTCTCTCTCATTTAAGCCATGCTCTAAAAAGCTATTAGAATGAAATGTCAAAACGGAAGGTTATGTACGTTGATCGTTTGGAATATTACGTGTTCATCAATTAAGATTAGTTCTGCAATTGAGCAAAATCGTCAGTAAATTAATTTTTGTACATTTCTATGGGTATTTCATCCCAGTTATACCCACCAATTTTAAGTTTTAAGTTTTATTTATTGCTATTGTTAAGTATTTCAAAGTAACGTGTGAACAAAACCAAATGTAATGGTTGCTGCGGTGACATGGAAGATGACCTCGTAAAAATGGGCGGAGCATATGCATTATTTGTTATGAACAGAAAGTTCTTGATCAATAAGCTCCGTTGACTTTCTTTTAAATCGTCATTTTATTGTTTCTAAAATCATATAAATTCATTAAATGTATCATTACAAAAGCTAAATGATAAACTTTAACATTTATTTTGTGAAAAAGGTCTGCAACTAATGTCATTTAAAAATGCATCATTATCTGTCTCAGAAAAACTAGACTGGTTTGCGGCCTATTTCCTAATCACGTTAATCTGCCCAGTAAACAACATTATACAAGACAATCGAGAAATTCCAGCACCACGCACGGGCATGGTCTCCGTCAAAATGAGTTATCAAAACGTCAAGATGGAATGTGTGTGACCCAGTTACTTAGTTCTCCTGACTAATAACAGTATTTTTATATA